ATCATTTAAGTTTCAAATCTGAGTAAGAGTGGCTGAGTTTGTAAAACAATAGATATCAACAGGACTGAGTTCATGTATAAGTCAAAACAGTGAGGAAAACAGTGATAAAAACTTCCCGAAGGGTTCAAATAATTGGCACGAAGTCCAAATATGGCAGTCAGCCCAAATCGTGATGATAACAAATAAGTTTCAGTCAAATATGAGGTAAAATCATCAATTGGGACGGACCAAGTCACAATCCCCAACAGTGCTCTACCCCACGCTCGCCATCCGGCAAGTCACCTCAATATAGCACAACGATGTGCAATCCGGGGTTTCAAACCCTCAGAATATCATTTACAATCATTACTCACCTCGAACCGGCGAAATCTCTAGCTCGCGACGCCTTTGCTCCTCAAATCGGCCTCCACGCGCGTCGAATCTACCCAAAATCAGAGCGAATACATCATAATATGCTAAGGGAACAAAGCCCAAGCGAAAACAATTAATTACGGGCACAAATTCCGAAATTACCAAAACCCGAGCCCCGGGCCCACTTCTCGAAACTCAGAAATTTTCACATCATTAGATTCCTTATCTTCGCACGAGTTCATACATATCAAAAGTTCTCAATTCCGACCTCAAATGGTCCTTCAAATCCCAATTTCAAAGTCCAATTTCTCAAGCCCTAGTTCTTCAATTTTAGGCTTAGTTTCCATGAATTTCTAGGTGGATTTCACAATATACTCAAGTTTTAAGACCAAGATTCTTACCTCAAATCGATTCCTCTTGAATCCCTCTTTCATCTCCTCCAAAAATCTCCAAAAACGAGCAGCCATGGGTGAAAATAGACCCAAAATCGCGGACCAGGTGACTTAAAAACATTCTGCCCAGCAACTCCAAATCCTTCTTCGCGATCGCGACCAAGGCCACGCGATCGCGAAGCACAAAAATCCAAGGCTTCAAAAATACTCAATGCAAGCGCGATGCTCCCTCTGCGAACGCGATGCTCTTTATCCCAAACTTACGCGAACGCGGACCAGCCTATGCGAACGCGAAGAACAAATCCACTGGGTCCCCAAATCCTTATACGCGAACGCGTACTCACAACCGCGATCGCGAAGCTTCCACCTCCAAAACTACGCGAACGCGAACCCATTACTGCGAACGCGAAGAGCTAACCTGGGCCAACGAAAAATCCCTCTACGCGATCGCGAGACTTCCCGCGATCGCGAAGGCCATTTCTTCTGCAACAGCTGAGATGAAAATCTGCAACTCCAAAATGCCAAAAATGGTCCGATTAACCATCCGAAACTCACCCGAGGCCCCCGGGACCTCAACCAAAAATACCAACACGCCCTAAAACCTCATTCAAACTTGTGCCAATCATCAAAACACCTCAAACAACACTAAACCCATCGAATTTTATTGAATTCAAGCTCAAGTTCTTTTAAAACTTCCGAAATACACTTTCGATCAAAAACCCGACCAAACGACGTCCGAATGACCTGAAATTTTGCACACACATCACAAATGACGTAACGAAGCTACAGCAACTCTCAGAATCCCATTCCGACCCTCGTATCAAAACCTCAACTACCAACCGGAAGTCGCCAAAATACTAACTTCGCCAAAACAAGCTAATTTCTACACCGGACCTCCAAAACCAATTCCGATCACGCTCCTAAGTCATAAATCACCCAACGAAGCTAACCAAATCATAAAAATTCCGATCCGAGCTCATATACAGATAAGTCAACTCTTGGTCAAACCTTTCAAATTCAAAGCTTTCAACTGAGACTGTTCTTCCAAATTCATTCCGATTTTCCTGAAAACCAAAACCAACGATCTACATCAGTCATAATGCATTACACGGGGCGAGTCATGCCCGAGAACTGGCAATCAAAGTGCAAAACTCAAAACGAACGGTCGGGTCGTTACATTTATATAGTATGGGAGTCCTACTCTCGGTACAACTCTATAAAAGGTAAAAAATCTTCTGATTAACTGATTGCCGGTTCTTCACCGATACGTGCCGAGATCCCTGCCATGATATCCGGCCGGTCATGGATATTACGGCTTTCTGTTGGTCGTGCTTGATTGCCCGACAATGTTCTTCGAAGTCATTCAAGGCTCAGACCGATCTCGAACCATGACTCCGATATTCTCGAGTATGGGCGTCATGCACCGGATTCTGACTCGATGAGACCTTTGCCTCGATTCTGGTCCCTTGTTATCATGGCTCGAGCTTGACTTATCTTATCGGAGACCGGGATATACCATGAGCCCGATTTTACCCGTATACAAGCACTATATCTTAGTTATGCATTAAGTATTGAATTACTGTGATTGGCATAATGTTTAACCTTTAATTTGTGTAAAGTGATCGACATTAATTTAGTCTTTGGACTTATAGATCGGATGAAATTTAGTACATAAATCAAACAAACTGCATTCATAGCTAGACTCCGCCAATTAATTATTTATTTCAAAGTGTTTTAAAGGCGGGGCGTTTTATTTAATATGGAGCGAGCCGTAAGCCCCGAGGCATGGGGTGTAAGCCCCATTGATCTTTAAATTTAATTTATAAATTAATAAAATAGCATAATAACCACTTCGAGAAAATGTAAAAATAATTAAAATAACTAATAAAAAATAAAATATCTAGCATTTTTTTATAAATATAAACAATGCAAGTGTTAAAGTTATTATGAGATAAAAACCAACAATACCGTCTTATCTTTTAATCAATTAAAAAATTATAATTTCTTTAAAAAATATTTATATGGATGAATAAAATTTTAATCTTTCACTTATTAAAGAATTTTGAGTGTCAATAATGCTAATTAGGAAATTCGACGCATAATTTATGTTAGGAACTATTAGGTGAGTCTCGAGCGTTGAGCGTTTGGCATGTTTCGGGTGCACAATCGGGCGCTTGAGGCGTAATAAGCCTCATACTATTAAGCCCCATACATGAGCTTTACGGCATTTTGATAGTGCCCCGCCCCAGGAAGAGCCCTGGGCACGTTCCAAGAAAACCTTTTAAAACACTAATTTCAACTCCCCTTTCTTTTGACAATTAAATTTAACAAATGTTTGACTTCATTCTAAATATTCTTATAATTCACAGTCTAAATTGTTGGCATGTTAGGTGGCCATTCTATATGTTTTGATCGAGTTGACAACCCACAATGATATCAGTCCAGCCAAAAAATATTACTAGAATCGTTAGATTGATTGTACGTAGATTCATTATAAAATGAATATTAAATTTCATCTTCAAAGCATCTGAAAAGATTAAAATGAAATGGTTAGATTAGAAATTAGTTCTCCAGTCCAAACACAAAAGTAATATTCCTTAAACCAAGGGAGTAATTGTTTTTAATTACATCTACTTCCATCGCACAAACCTATTTAACCTAGTTTCTTAAATATAACTCAAGTATAATTAATATAATCAAGAAAAAATTCATTTTGTTTTTCCAAAATTCAAACATGAAATCTCATTATGGACTCCGACCTTGCTTTGCTATGGCACCTATATCAGCAGACAAGTTAGGATCTTTTTATGTTAAAACCGTATCATAGAATATATAATAGCTTGGCCTTGGAAAGTATTGTGCTCTAAAAAGTACTAATTTGTCGTGTAATTTTGCTAGTGACTCTACTATCTTTAGACATGATTATCCCAATGGGATATCAAAATTATTTGGTATTCAGAAAATGGAGACTGATAATCAATTCCCGTTCCAATCGTGTTGTTTAGTATTAGATAATTGAGTAAATTTTTCCCACATCTCATCCGAATACTTTGTTATTTAAGTAAAAATAAGGCCAAACGACCCCGGATAATTGTGTTGTCCGACTTTTCCATTTAGACACTTGAATTTGGCTTAGTACCTACTGAACACTTAGGGGTCGTTTGGTACATAAGATAAAAATAATAATCTCGGGATAAAGTTTGGGATTAACTTTATCTCAAGTTTAGTTTGGGGTTTTAGTTAATCCCGGAATAAATTTTGCACTAAAATAGTGGGATTAACTATCCCATATAAAAGGTGGATAACTAATCCCATGGGATATCCTACCATTATACCAAACGACCCCTTTTACATTAGTAATGTGATTATTGAGATAGGTTGTTTTTAGTACAAATATATTCTTAGTGCACTTATTCAGTCCTAGTCAAGAGAAAAACCAATCAAAGTTGGCGCTAGAGATCACAAATGGTGTAAAGCTTATGAGATAGATGTATTATAACCAATAAAAGTGAGTTTGGGATAAAATATGGAAACAAAAATTACAAAAGGTAAATGGAGATGCGGGGGATCGAACCCCGTGCCTCTCGCATGCAAAGCGAGCGCTCTACCATTTGAGCTACATCCCCGATTGATTATTTAGTTTGTAGTTTTGTTATTCATAATCTTACTTGCAAGTATCATGCGGAATTATGTGAAATATCAACCTCTCGACTGATACTTATTTGCCTTGACGAAGCCATAATTAAGAGCTACCTCGTTTTATATACAAGACAATTGAACCAACGAATTAAACTAAACTGGAGCTTTATTGATTAAATAATTACATAAAACTCACATCCGTCTAGACAGATAGCAGCTCCAAAAGAGAGCCAATATCCACTAAAATAACAAAAAGAAAAAAAAAAAAAAAAAAAAACAGCTCGGTGCACTAAGCTGCCGCTATGCGCGAGGTCCGGGGAAGGGCCGGACCACAAGGATCTATTGTACGCAGCCAGCTTACCCTGCATTTCTGCAAGAGGCTGTTTCCACAGCTCAAACCCGTGACCTCCTGGTCACATGGCAGTAACATTACCGGTTACGCCAAGGCTCCTTTTATAAAATAACAAAGAAAAAGGCATCGCTCCAGACAGATGGAGGAAGCAAGTTACAAGAAAAATCAACTCTCCTACTTCTAGTTTTCTCTCTCCCTGATATTAACATAAATGATGCAGTGGTTCTTCAGTACTGAAAGAACCTACTTATTCTGGTAATATATGGTATTATATATATACTAGTATTATATATATCTAGAAACAAATATGTACAGAATAATTATATATGCACAACAACATTGGAAATCCGATTAGCAGCCCGTAACGTAACCTAGATCTCTATCAGTTTGTTTGTGCACGGCCTTTAGCAGTCATTTCTTCACACACATAAAAAGTTGTTTTTTCAATTGATCTATCTCGTCAACGATCCCAAGCACTCAGCACGATCCTGAAAAACAATCCAAATCCACCATTATTGTATGAGAAAGCACATCAGAGAAAAGAAAAGATGCATGCATGCATGCAGCTTTTAGAAACTAGAAAAAGAGAAGCGCAAATAATCAGATATGGCTGAATTATATATATATTTATATATATATATATATAAGGAGGGCAAAGGATAAAAAGTACCAATCATAGTTTGGAGATCGTTCCCTGTTTGTTTTTCCCTTCGGTTGCTTTTTGTAATACCTCCGTGGTGAACTTGCTATAGGAAAACCGAGAAAGGAAAAAAAAAACATTAATTAAACACTTAATAATAAACCGAGAAAAAAATAGCCATTTATTAAACACCAAACACCTCAAAAGCGGAAGAAAAAAAAGAGAGAAAAAGTTCAAACTTATCCTTCTACTATATAAAACATTTTAATTTTACTCTTAGATATATTTTGGAGTCATTCATATTCTTATTATAGGCAAATTGTCTCATATTTAATATTTAACTTCGAATTTAATTAACAGAGCTCAAATGTGGTCCTTAGTCAAAATGTCTAATTTTACCCTTCCACTGGTGGCATGGTTTAAAATTGTCTTTTGTTATACTTCAAGATTGAAAATCCGTTAGGATTAAGAATTATAAATACGAGACGATATGCTAAAATCTGTTAATTAGCATTACATTAGCCCTCATGTTGCATCGGTTTTAGCTTTTTCGTGTGATTTGTAGGTCATGAATTCGAACAGTGAAGCAGTTACTAATACTTATATTAAGGTAGGCTATTTACATCACATCCTTAGGGTGCGGCCCTTTCTAACCCTGCTACGGAATACTATGTGCCAGTGCATCAGACATGAGACGACATGCTAATAAAATGATATGAATGACATCAAAATATGTTGGAGGATGTAGTTAATTAATTAGATACCTATGGAAGAGAGATATTTTTGATCATTTTCTATTTAAAATGGGGTGGGGGAAACTAGCAATAATTATGGAAAGAGGACTAACGTGCAAATGGGGAAGTGGGAGCGCTAGAAGTAGCAGGGGAAGATGGTGCAGATCCAGAATCAGGCGTAGCGTTGACACTTCGTGATGCAGAAGTTGAATTGCTGCGGAGAATCGTAATGCTCCGGGAAATCGGGATCGGATTATCACTATCGACGGCGACGGCGACGGCGTTGTGGTGGCGAAACTTGGTGGGGGACGACGGAGCACTAGAGGCAGTACGGCCAGAGAAAGTATTAAACTTGCGGAGTTTGCTTAGGCCTGAATCTGGTGCAGGTCCAGCAAGTGTATCATCCCACAATTTGTGAAGAAAACCCATAATCGATGAATAATCCAATGATCTAAATAAAAACAACCCCTAATAATTTAAATCTTTTTTTTTCTTTTTTGTTTTCGTAATTTCGATATTTATTGTAGTAATTCTTTTTGTAACAACCGTAAGGAGGTGATGCTACGTCTGTATATATATATGTAAGGAACTATATATGGCGGGGGACACCACCCGAATGCGACTGTTACAACTTCACAAAGAGAGAGTGAAATTAAAGAAATAAAATTAGATGACGAAATTAATTAATTAATTAATTTGATGTTTTAGTAAAGAGAGGCTTTTTATAGGAGAAATTAGAGAATGGAGATGGAGACGGATAAGGTAAGATTTTGATGGCTAAGCACATGAGAGGAAGCAGTGGATGTCCGCTTGATATGGCTTTGTCTCAAGCCATTGAAATTTTAACTGGAAATGAGAATATTAATGAATGGGCCATTTGCTCTATAATTAGAAAAATGCTCTCTGTCATGCATTATTTTGCTCTATAATTGGAAAAGCGTTTTGACTCGTGCAATAAGAATACTTACCAAGTGAAAATTTCACGGTATAGCCATTTTTCGGACTGGTCAATCAAAAATAGCCACCATTTTGCTGCAATAGAGACCGGTCCAGCATAATATACTGGAGTTTCGGTGCACTTGTGTATGAACTCCAGCATATTATGCTGGACCGGTATACTTTGCTGGCTCCAGTATAATATACTGGAGACTGGAGCACTGATGCTCCAAACTCCAGTATATTATACTGGACCATTATACTTGCTGGAACTCCAGTATATTATGCTGGAGTTCTAGTGTATTTATGCTGGAACTCCATCATATTATGCTGGAGTTCCAGCATACTATCCTGGAACTCCAGTATAATATGCTGGAGTTCAAGTATACTTATGCTGGAACTCCAGCACAATATACTGGAGTATTTTCCGGGTTTTGAACAGTATTTTCGCTCAGATTTATCTTTACATAAAAAGTAGCTAAATTTCGATTACTTTTGAAATTGGGCTATTTTTGAACGATCAGTTGTAAATCTGGCTATTTTTAAAAATCACCCGAAAATTAGCCTACATGTTGGATTAAAATTCACTACCAAGGGTAGAGAGATAGAATTTCTCTACCTTTAATCAAAAATCTCAGGTTCAAATACTAAAAATAAAAAATATTCTAGTAGAGAACGCTTATGAACATATATTAAAAGAATGAAGAGAATTTGATTCAAATTTTAATTTTGTGGGTTTCAAAGCCCTAATTTGTAGGAGAGTTGGGGCCAAGTTGACGTGGTCATACTCATCTGCTCTTATTTTGTTAGAACACGTTATTGGATAAGATTGAAACTCTTGTTGAAAAGTTGCTGTGGTGGGAGCTGGGGAGGTTTCCTATCTAGTCAAGTATTGAGATAGTCATACCTTAAATCCTTCATTAACACGTTCCTTTTTTATCAGGAAGACTACAAACACTTTAATTATGGATAATTTTGTTCAAATACTAATAAACAAAGATTAAATATTAAGACTGTTATAAATAGAATTTTATTTATGGTGAATGTCTATATTTAGAGAGATTCTAGGGTTTATTATTTGGTGGCTAAGTCACCCTCTCCCTATAAATAGAGGGTTCTATTCCATTGTAATTCATCCTAAATATCAATAAGAATTCTCTCTCCCTACTTTTCTCTGCAATACTACTCTTCTTCTTTTATTGTTTTATAACACGTTATCAGCACGAGACTCTAACCAATTGAGTAGAAGCTTTGGGATTGAGCATAATGATTGTCAATTATTCCATGAACTTCCTTCATGATTAAATTCTGGATTTAAGGTAAGTATTTTACCGTATTTTTCTCTTTTATTCTATAATTTGATTTTAAATACAAAGACAATAAATTTTGATAACAACTCTAATGGAGTTTGTAAGAAATTATAACCACCTGAAGTGGTAAAAGTTTCTATGTCTTGCCATGATCAAATTCATGTATGATTATGGGCACAAAAAGTGGAAACCCGTCCCATTGAATTTACTCCATTCTCATTCCCTTAAGAGAATGTGATAGCAGTATGTGATAAGTCTGAAAGAAGACAAAATTATCACTATGAATGTATCAATGGATGTGGACGTGGCAATAGACGAAATTATAATCGTCATCATTGTGATAATGAGAATAATAAGGATTCTCAAAATAATCCCCCACTTGTGAAAATACTTGTCATCGATTTGACATGAGATTTTATAAAGCACATATAGATGATTATGGTCTATTCATGATGTGAATGTGACAACATCTGATTTAAGAATACATATTCATTTTTGGAAGAATATGAGCGTGCTAGTGGTATATACCACACTCACCTCTAGAAGGAGGTTTGAGATGATATAAGAAAATAATATCATTATTATGGCATGAATGGTCATTGGTCACGTACCTATTGTACGCCAAAATATTTTGGCATTGTGATTATTAAAAGTCAACGGTAATGCAAGAAACAGATCTTGCATATAATTTTGACCATAACCATAATGGTATAACTTTCTCTTTAAAAGAGATATTCACCATATGGGTGTTGATGAATATGTGGTACTACAAAATTAATTGAGAACTCTGCAAGAGCCAATTATACTATTTGTAGAGCGGGGTCGACAATTAATTACCAATAAGGTATTGTGTTGTAGTAAGTCTCAAAGAAACTTATTCAGTTTCCAAAGTATACGCGAAAGCGATTGATTATATTGAGACTATAAATAAAGGAAAGATTTAATATCTTCTATTACTACATCTTGTAGCGGGGTAATATGTATGTGAAAAGCTACTCGCTTTATTCTCCAATTTGTACTACATAAACAAAAGAATACCACAATGAAGTGGATATTTATTGATATAAAAACCCTTATCATAATAAACTTGGAGTTTATTCATAATTGCACACATCATGGCTTAAACCTGAAGTTTATCAATATTGATAATTTATCCAGTTGGCATACTTGGTTTAGCCATGTTAATTCAAGTATGATGTGCAAAAATAAAAGGGAATTCACATGGGTAAATATTAAAGAACTAGAAAGTTCTTTACGAATTCTCTTGCATTGCTTGTTCTCATTAATTAATAGACCAATTAAAATTGGGATTGAATCCCATGAATGCTGGAAATATCAAAGGTGAATATGGGCCCATTCACTTGCCATGTATACCACATAAGATGCATCTATGAGATGGTTACATGTGCAATTATTATTGACCCGCAACCTGGTGTTTGCGAGGTAACTTGCTCAATAATTTAATATAGAGCATAATTTCCAGATTTTTTATTCAAGATAGTTCTTCTTGATAAGTTGGTTTACATCACAGTTGGTTTAGCAAAATAATTTATTGAGTGCCTCCACTTAATAGCTAAACTATTGCTTATGAGAACAAAGTTATATATATCAGTTTGATATACGTTATATACAAAAGTATATTATTTTCTCCCCTCACAAGTGGTTCAGGGTCAGAAACCAAATAATTCCATCTTATTATTATTGATGTGTGGTGTATATTATGATTAACACCATAACGCACAAAGATGGGTTCTCAAACTTGAGGAAACAAGTTAATTTTTCTAACATGAGGGGGAGACATGATAAACAGTTGAGAAAAAGTTACATGGAATGAATTATTATTTATACATCTCGATCCTCGAATAAGATAATATGAATTTGAAGTTCATAAAAAGATAATTCATTTGCAATATATTGCAAAGCATGCCAAACGCATTTGCTGACCCAAAGAAAGTAACTATATTCTTGTTGCAAATGCTCCTATTACCTAGAAGGACAAAGTCTATGGTACGCTTAAAGCATATAGACAAATCGGTTTCAAATAAACTTCTTGATAAAGAAGATGAGCAAATGATCAAAATGATCATAATAAAGGAGACAAGTGATCTAGAAGATCACATGACATAATGCTTCATAAAATCTCAATAGAGGTTTAGGTACCTGAAATGAATGAAGAGATCTCTATGTTATGTCTTTATTAAAAATGTTGAAACCGATATAAAATGTTCGTCGACGATATCTATGATACCGCTAAATATATATGAGGATCTTAAGTCTAGTGAAACAATTTCGAATAGAATTGGTTTCATATGAAAGACATGTAGTTTTGAACATGCATGTAGTTCAAACACTTGAAAGTATAAAGTCAATGGTATGTGCAATCAGTTTTCGATATCTTATATGTCTAGCATGACATGAAAACTTGATATGCATCTAAAGTCTATTATATGGCTTATATGACTTAACAATCCCTGAAGGATTTAAATTGCCTAAAGCATATAGAATTCATGGTCATGAAGTACTACATCCTCAATGCAATTTGTGCACAAATGTATCTTGCTATAACTATATGCATGATAATATGATAGCAAGAGTTTTCACCTCTATGTGAAGATATTGAAATGATGATTCCAACAAGATCATATGAAGACAATTCATCTCTATCAAGAATGATGATTTCAAGGTGCAATATATTCATTCAAGTTAATATGGCTGATTTGTTTATCAAATATCTACCAAAGATCTTTTGAAGATGGTGCACAAGATTGGAATGCAAATGCTTAAGGATGTGAAGTGATGCTCTCATGAGGGGGAGTTAATACGCGTTGTACTCTTTTTCCCTTACAAGGTTTTGTCCCACTGGGTTTTCCTTGCAAGGTTTTTAACGAGGCAACCAAAAGGCGTATTATTAGATATGTGTACTCTTTTTTCCTTCTCTAGAATTTTTTCCCACTGGGTTTTATTTTAGTTAAGGTTTTAACGAGGCACATTATCTGTTGGATAGACATTCAAGGGGGAGTGTTATAAATAGAATTTTATTTATGGTGAATGTCTATATTTAGAGAGATTCTAGGGTTTATTACTTGGTGGCTAAGTCATCCTCTCCCTATAAATAGAGGGTTCTATTCCATTGTAATTCATCCTAAATATCAATAAGAATTCTCTCTCCCTACTTTTTTCTGCAATACTACTCTTCTTCTTTTAGTGTTTTATAACAAAGACATAAATAAAGGTAAAGTAGTTAAAATCTCATCCTAATGGCGTATATACAAGAGAATAATGCAGATAATATGAGACGAAGAATAGTAGTTTTTTATTAAAAACTGTCAACTGATAAGTGATAGATTAAATTCTGCATTGACATAGTAATAGCGAATTCTTTATATCGTTCAGCTACAAAAGTAACTCAATTTTACTAATCAAATCCGAAGTAATATTTTTCT